TTTCTACTCCACCTTCTCCCACATCGTCCCGGCCAGCAAGAAGAGCCGGCCCCGGGTGAAGTTCATGTTGGGCGGTCAGCCGCGGGTGCTGACCTATGATGGCTTTGCTCAGGCCATGGGGCTCGACACCGCTCACATGAAGATGACGGAGCAACAGTACACAGTCGACTTCGACTATTAGAGAGCATTCAGAGCCATTTGCCGCCCAGAGCACGAGCAGAGCAAGTTCGAGGGGAGCAAGACCAAGGCCATCAAGTTGAAGACCCAGTGGAGGATTCTTCATACTCTGCTCACCAGGTCCGTCGTCCCCAGCCTCTATTCAGGCCACTTGATGACAAACAGAGGGCTCATTGCCCTCCACTCGATGAGGAGTCGAGCTGAGCCGATCGACCTGGGATCATTTATTGCTACCTCTTTCGCCCGGTGTCTGGGGCGGATGGAGCCCTTCCTAGTGGAGACTTTGTACAATTAGAAGCTGGTCCTCCAGGGCGAGAGAGGAGTGGAGTACCTTGATGGACTTCGACCCTCCGGAGTTATTCGAGCTGCAGTCGCACCAGATCCAGTGGAGCCCGACCCCGAGGTCCCACCAGCAGCAGACTAGCCACCTGCTCGAGCACCCGGCTGCCGCCGGCATCCAGTGCTCCCGTGCCCTGCACATCAGCCACCTCCACCAAGAGAAGGCGATCCCCTCGTCGAGAGGGTGGATCACCTTGAGACAGGTTTCTTGGGATTCGCATCCCGCCTCTAGCGATAGTCCGACATCCTCGAGCACATGGCTCGACATCAGGGCATCCTACCCGATGATGGAGAGGGACCATCCACCGGAAAGAGGTAGCCGACGAGAGAGACATGTGGCAGAGCGGAGTCCATTCGCCCCACTTCTCTACTTGTAACTCTAAACTTGTTTTCTTTTTGTTTTTGTTATTTGTGTGTGTGTGAAATGAACTACTACTATGTATTGTGCTTGTAATAACCTCTCCTCGAGCGAGTCATATTGTGCTTGTGTGTGTTTTTTGTTGTCTCCCCTTGAAGCTTCAATTATTCTACCCTGGTTTGATTTCTACATTAACTCACCAAGCCCAAACGGTAACATCACTCTACCCATTTCTTACGCCATTGAGGGCATTGCCGAGTTTAAGTGTGGGGGTGGGGGGGTAGTCTTCTAGTGTGCTTGTGTGAGTGAGGTGTTGGTTGGAGCCTTTTGTATGCCCAAATTTCACAAATTTGAGGGCTCCAAGCAACGTTTGCATGTTCAAAGTGACCAGATGGTGGTAAATTCTCGTGTTTGTGGCATTAATCGTGAACTGTGCATGTGATTGAGCATATCCTATGATGATGACTGAGAAGTTCATTAGGATAGGGAAAGAGTTTAGTTCTCATAGTGTGCATAAATGAATGAAGGTCTTGACTTGATCACTTGTTGTTTACAATTGCTATGCATCGTTTTTGTGAATGGGAATAGATGGTTGGGTAACTGGGTAGCCTGTGAGCTTTGAGCCGTTCGTTTCTTTCGGTGTGATAGTTCCCTCTTACCACGGTGGGTAGCATCACAAGTCATCACTAGCAAGTATGATGGAGGCATAGGATTAGTCCACACCCCAAAAGTTGATTGTCCTGAGATGCATGATCCCTTAGTCAACCCCTTTGAGCCGTGTGATTCCATGGGTCGTTCTCGGTTTAGGAGCTTTGTTTGTGTGAGCTTAAAGGTGTTAGTAGAACGACCCCCAAATCCTTTCTTCGCGTCCAAACATGAGTCACCCATGTGTCCCGGAACACTTACCATTGAGTTTCATAGAGGTTCTACATAGGATGTTCATGTGTGGTTCTTGCTAGGAGTGCAAAATGGAGTGTAGTGTTGGAGTTAGTTCCTCAAAAAGAGAGCATTGGTCGTTAAATGTTTAGGTGGCAAGTGTTTTTACTCCCTAATACCCCCCCCCCCCCCAAAAAGAAAAAAAAAAGAGAAAGAAAAGAAAAGAGAAACGAAAAAGAGGTAATAAAATGGGGTAAATAAAGTAGAGAGTGTCACGAAAAACCAAAGTACATGCTCTAGGAAGGGGTTTCTTGGCACCCAAGCCATCGAAACCCCCGCATTGTTAGAACTCCTTCACTACCAAACCTTAAAGAACTAGCAAGAGTTGACCGAGGAAGAGTGCTTCAAGCTAGTTCATGATTGGTGATAGTTGGAAGGGAGAGATAAGGGTTTTGGCCGATGCTAGTGGCCTTTGGAAGAAAAGAAGGGTTTTATTCGAAACAACAGGCCTTCGGTTTTAGGTTGAAGATGTAGAAACTTATGTCATGATTGCCACCACCCAAAAAGCCTTTTCCCCATGTTCAAGCCAATTGCCAATCCTCTGAACCCGTGTCTAAGACCTCCGGACGAGCTAGTGGTGACAACCATCCCATGAACTCTAGCGTTTAGAGGATACCGTCGTGGTATTGAGACGATAGGGCCGAGAGGTTACGAGTGTGCACATCTTTTGCACCAAAAAGGTCCCGACCC